CCCACGGCAAAAAAAAAAGGCGCCGTTACTGTAATATGAGACCAGCTCTTTTCTATTTGGCTAACAGACCCAAGAGTCGTTGCAATGCGCACGTTTACGTTATGCGGACATCATCCTGGTGACATGGTTTAAGTACTGTGTTTTTGCAACTGGCCTGTATACTATACCTAGTCCAATTAGTACAATAAGCTAAAAGAATAACCCTAGATCATCTCAGAAAATCAAAACCATATGTTCAACATTTTTAAATACACACTAGCTTACTCTATAAGCGATCAACCTTAATTGTACCTCTTCCGTACCTTTAATTTTCCATTCATCAAATGCGATTAAGTATTTAAAGCCTCACTAGGCCTTGCAAATTTTCTCATCTCCTCCGCATTCGCACCCTAGACTCCTAGAGAGATGGAAATAGAAGAAGAGTATTGCAATACTGAACTTTGTCTTGGAATTGGGAGGGAGCCCACCTCGAAGAGAAACTCGGAGCAAATTTCTTCACTCCAAATTAATTTCAAAGAAGTAGATCAAAAAGAGAGAAAACCGTCAATCAAAGGAGGAGGAGGAGAAGAAAACAAGCCCGTATCAATTCGGAAAAAGCTTAGGTTGAGCACAGAGCAATCTGAATTTCTTGAAAACGCATACAGAGCCCATGCTACTCTCACTCAGGTTCTCTCAAAAGCCTATGATTATGTATCAGTTCAATCATTGTATTGATGCCCAAACTTGATTAATTATTTGTTAAATATATTCTTATATTTTTTGATAGGATGAGAAGTTAGAACTAGCAGAGGAGCTCAATTTGAGCCCACGTCAAGTGGAAGTTTGGTTTCAAAATAGAAGATCGAGGTATTTAGCATGCGTTTGATTGAGTTTTATCTTGATTATGTTTGTCTTAGAATTTATGAAGTTAGCAAGCACTCACTATTGTGAGGATTATGCATGTCAAAAAATTATCCTTCGGACTTTTGCTCATCTGATCAACGGTGCACGAAAAGATATATACATAGTTTCTGGGTCAATTCATGAATCTTTAAAACCTTTTGTATTGCCCTACGTAATTCATGGAGAGACAATTCATGATGTACTAAAATCAGTCTAATTTTGTATTGTTCTTATTAAATAGTCTTTTTTAATAATTTTACAACATGACAACTACCAAGAACCAGAATTAACCGGTTATATATTTTTATAATCAATGATTAAACAAAAGTAAATAAACATAACGAAAGTAAACTTATCACGGGCCTCATAAATGTAAGTTTTCATATATGTGTGTGAGCTTGTGTGTATCCTTCAAAAAAATAAATATATATTCAACATTTCTATTATTGCAGGACTAAGTTTAAGCAGATGAAGATGGAGCGCGAGTATCTGAAAAAATTATGTGAGAGCCTTACTGAAGAGAATCAGAGGCTAAAGAGAGAGATGCTGGAATTACTGATGTTAGTGAAGTGTTGGCAAAAAAATACGCAAGAGGAGTAAAGATAAAATATATTTAACATACAACTAGCAAAAGTTTATTGAATTTATGCACTACTCTCTTGAGAGCCTCTATTGCTTAATCTATGTAAATAATATCACTATATCAGGATGGGAAAGCTACATGCACGCTTTATAAATAAAGTAATTAATATATTACATCTATATTTCTTCTCGCAAAATAAACATTTATACCTATAATTCCCTCAAATCTTTAACTTGTGTAACAATCTTGAATTTGACACATCCATATGAAATCTTTTCTCATGTATTAATATCATGATTAAATGATACTTATTTTAACAAAATTGTATAACATTTCTTATTGATAATAGATTAATAGATAGTATAAGTAATTCAGCTCTACTTAGGATCTGTTCGGTTGCAAACTTTATATAGGAAAAGTGGAATTGTAGGGTCCACGTCAACTTTCTGTATTTTACTTTGTTTGGTTATCATGTTAAAGGGGATGATATGGTATCTCAATATTAAATCCCTCTAAATTGGAAAAAATTTGGTAGGAAGTTAACATAGCATTAGTACTATGTGGATGTACATTCTGTTGTGCACGGAAGCCACCAATCGTTGTGCTTCGAGGAACCAAAACAAACGACGAGAGAAGGCCAAACAAATCAAAATAATGCCACAAACACAAACAACTGATTTTAACGTGGTTCGGCAAGTTGCATACGTCCACGGGGAAAGAAGGGGATTGATGTAGGACGCTTAATCTGAGTTGGAGTCTATTTAGATTAGGAAATATAGATTAGAAAATAAATTCAACTTTAGAGTCAAATTAGATTAGGAAACAAAATCAATTTTGATTCATGATTTGTTTCCTCTATTATAAGGAGTCTTTTTAGGATAGAATTTGATACTTTCTTTTTTTTGTAATTCTAGTCTTACTAGGAGTCTTATTTGATACTTTCTATTTTTGTAATTCTAGTCTTATTAGGAGTCTTATTTGTTTTTCTATTTAAGAAGAGTCATGTAACCCCAAAGGAGAATAACTTTTGATTAATAAAATTTCGTTTTTCCTCAATATTTCTTGAGTCATGTAACCCCAAAGGAGAATAACTTTTGATTAATAAAATTTCGTTTTTCCTCAATATTTCTTCGTGGATTCGAAGCTCTTCGTAGATTCGAAGATCGTTCTTTGTGGATTCAGAGAACATCCTTGGTGGATTCCGAGGTTACAACTTCCGCGCTGCGTCAATTGGTATCAGAGCCTTGTTCCTCCGATCCTTCCGCGCTGCGTCAATTGGTATCAGAGCCTTGTTCCTCCGATCCGATGGTAGGTGATGAAGCCCCTATTTCTCGAACTGAGTTCGACGTGCTGAAGACCGGTGTTAATCAGATGAAGACTGCCGTAGAGCGACTTGCATTGGCAGTGGAGCGTCTGAACATGGTAGGAGTTCAAAACCACGTTGATGGTCGCCAACGACGTGATCCGACTCCATATGTTAAATTGAACAACGACAATGATTTTAAGCAAGACATAAGAGTTGGGAAGAGCAGTGAAGAAGTAATAAAGAAAGAAGAACCACCTCCAGAGCCAGTGAAGAAGTAATAAAGAAAGAAGAACCACCTCCAGAGCATAATATCTTTCGTACGAGATGTACCGTGATGCAGAAGATTTGTAATGTTATTATTGAGAGCATAATATCTTTCGTACGAGATGTACCGTGATGCAGAAGATTTGTAATGTTATTATTGATAGTCACAGTGGAAGGAATCTTGTCTCTCGGCGTATGGTGAATAAGTTAGGTTTGAAGACATAGAAACGCCCACCTCTTGTTAAGATCGACTGGATTCACAAGGGCAATGATGTGCAGAACGATAAAGTGTGTTGGGTATCTTTTTCTATTGGTCGAACTTATTTTAATGAAGTTTTGTGTGATGTTGTCGAGATGGATACTTGTCATATGCTTTTAGGTAGGCCATGACAATTCAATAATGGAGCTACTCATAAGAGCAGAGACAATGTTTATATCTTCAAGAAAGATGGACGACGAATTATGCTCAAGCCTCTTACAGAAAAGGAGCCATATAAGATAAAGACTATTGAGAAGAAGGAACTATTGGTGACAAACAACAATGCTTTAACAGAAAACTTGAAGCAATCTGAAGAGGTCTGTGACTTGGTTGTAACTGAAAAAGAAGAACATGCCTCTACCGAAATTCCTCCTAAGGTGCAAACACTCGATATGCATGAAATGCATGATGGTGATATGATAGTGAAGATGGATAATATGCATGATATTCTTAAAGTGGTTGAGAGTGATATTCAACATATTGATGTTGTCCCGATATAGGAGAAGGATAAAATAGAGAGTGAGATAATTGATGGTATGTGTGAATTTCTTGGTGGAGGGCTCGAGGCAAAGAAGATGAAAGAATTATGTATGAAGTATGAGGGAGAAAATTCTTTTTTGGAAGCAATGATCATCAATAATTTCAACAATAATGAGATGATACCGCCGACACTAGAATATAGGAAGCAACATGGAATATATTTAGAAGAGTTTTTCATGCCGCCGACACTAGAATATAGGAAGCAACATGGAATATATTTAGAAGAGTTTTTCATGCCAACTACAGAGCTACATGTTGCCAATTACATACACATGTCATGGAAAAGATTCATATATGAGTTTTATACAGAAGAAGCCCTAGCAGAGGAGACAAAACAACATATGGAGAAAATCAACGCTAAATATAAGGCAGATGCAGATCATTGCAAGAGAAGAAAATTATTTATCAATGAAGCTACTATTCTAACAAATAAAAGCTCGAGGTCGAGCTTCTTTCAACAAGGGGAGACTGATGTAGGACGCTTAATCTGAGTTGGAGTCTATTTAGATTAGGAAATATAGATTAGAAAATAAATTCAATTTTAGAGTCAAATTAGATTAGGAAACAAAATCAATTTTGATTCATGATTTGTTTCCTCTATTATAAGGAGTTTTTTTAGGATAGAATTTGATACTTTCTTTTTTTTGTAATTCTAGTCTTACTAGGAGTCTTATTTGATACTTTCTATTTTTGTAATTCTAGTCTTATTAGGAGTCTTATTTGTTTTTCTATTTAAGAAGAGTCATGTAACCCCAAAGGAGAATAACTTTTGATTAATAAAATTTTGTTTTTCCTCAATATTTCTTTGTGGATTCGAAGCTCTTCGTGGATTCGAAGATCGTTCTTTGTGGATTCAGAGAACATCCTTGGTGGATTCCGAGGTTACAACTTCCGCGCTGCGTCAGGGATATGATTTTTACTAATAGAGAAGAAGAGTACAAACTGAGATTAATCACTCAAACTAACCAACTAATCTCACCAACAAATCTCTAATTCTCTCCAAATAAAACCCTAACCAATAGCTTAGAAAATACCACTTTTCTGTGCTCCAAATATTCCGCCTTCAATCCCAATCAAAACCCAAAGAAACCATAAAACGTGTGTTGGTATTTATACCAAACACAAATCCCAAGCAGAGCAGTAAACTAAGCCCAGGCCCAGACCCGACACGTGGTCGACCGACGCACCAGTCACGGTCGACCGTGGCCAACGACAGAAACAGAAAATCCATTATAGGGTCTTGCGGTCGACGGTCGTGCCAGCTGACGCGGTCGACCTCCAAAAGTCCAAAGACTTTTCCCTGTACTGTGCACGTTTGTGATCGACCGTCGCGCCACTCGCTGTTGATCGTGAAACTTCCAAATGCCTGTCAGCTTCATTTTTACTGATCTTCTCCAATGTTTTCACCGTTTCTACAATTCTCCACCTCAGCGAAGTTTTTCCAAAACTGAGCCGATACCAACCAAATCAAATATCCCACTAATTTTGTCCAATACGAAGTGAAAACAAATTCACTACAACGGACTCAATCCACAACAAGTCGAGACCTAAATGAGAATGTGATCACTCTCCAAACGTCGGTATCAACTCACCAAATCGGCTACATCATAAAATGATTATCTATGTTATTAGACCCTAGAGGGGGGGGGTGTGATTAGGGTCTTATGCTAATCTAATCCCGATTAAATACCAATAAAAAAATTATATTGATCAATTAGTTCTTACAAGAGATAGATATGAATAAGAACGATAAGAATAAGCACAAAAGAGATATACGCTAAGCAAACACAAACACAAGATATGTTTATGAGGTTCGGTCCCCACGACCTACGTCCCCGCTCCTCACCTCGAGGAGATATCCACTATCACAATCCGGTTTGGAAGCCGGAACTTCTACACACTCGGTTTACAAGATCACCGAAAACTCTCACACTACACAAACACTATGCAAACACACTTTACACACTAAGTGTAGGAACCTAGCCCGTGTCCTCCTCCTCAAGTGCTCGGATGCAACATCTCCCTAGGTTCGTCAACCGACGCCACTCCTATTGGATTCGACCCCGTTTCTCGCCTCACACTTCTCTCGGTGTACAAGTGTATTACAAGTGATTCTCACAAATAAAGATTAAATATAATGATTTGTTCTCAACAATAAATGAGAACAAAAAATGAAGCTCACACTCACTAAATCACACCCCACAACCCACACTATATAGTATGAAGATATTAAGCTCAATATGTGTGTGTGATAACAGTGAATAATATAACTCAATAAATATAGCTAATGAAATAAAAATGGAATAGCAAGCTATATAAGAGATAGAAAACTTCTCAAACAAGAAGAACAGTAGATGATGATCCCAATAGGATTTGAAAGCCACTTCTTGTTATAGGAAAACTTCTTTTGAAACAGACTGATGAAATTAGCTTAAACAGCTCTTTTAAACACACTTAATAGTTTGTTAAACACAAAACTTGGATACTGAAAAAGAGCAGCAATGAGGTATTTATACTCACTCAAATATCAGCCAAAAAACCAATCTTGAAAAGACTAAAAACCCCCAGAGAGCCGTTGTAAAACTAGCCGTTAAAAACCAATGATGGAATCGGGGGTCGACCGTGGAAATCTCGCGGTCGACCGCGAG